GACGTAATAGTTGTCTTGAAGAGTCTAGAAACTTGTCTGATTCTCTGGACAAGTATTGAGAATTAGTGGATAATTCTGATAGGTGATTATGATAAGTTGAATGATCAAGAGTACTTCTGGATAGTTGAAATTGGTTTGAAGAATATCGAGGAGAATAAGGACGTGATGTTTTCTGAAAATTCAAATGGTTTTCTGTATTTCTTGTTAAATTTTTAGGTGCAAAAATAAAATCTTCTGCTTTATTTGAATATTCTGAATGCTGAGGATCGTTTGATATTTTCGATTGACTCAAATAGTGTCGAGGAGAACGGGATCGACGTGTTGATTTTCTAGGTGATTCATTAAATGAGTATCTAGGGGAACGAGAACGATTTTAAAGCGTCCTAGATGATTTAATGTATGTGTTTGACTCTTTCGAAGAGGAACATATTCCTTTATTTGAGTTGTTGTTGTATTTTAAACATTCAGGAGAAATTTCCGATTGTTTTATTCGGTTCGAAAAATATTGAGGAGATCGAGAATAAGGTGTTTTTGATAAATATCGTGATGAACTATAAGGTTTTCTTTCGTGACTGGAATATTCTGAACGTTCTGGAATTTTTCTTAATATATGCAATTCAGTAGGTGATGGCGAACGACATGATTTTTCACTCGATGAACCTTTATATGTTTCTGATTTTCTCGACAAACGTTCAGGGAAATCGGACAGCGAAATTGGACGTGATATTGTTTTCGGTGAATCTGAATATCGATCTAAAGCGTCATACATATATTGAGGAGAACGTGATAAATTTGCTGAATGATTTCTGTATTCTAAATATTCTAAATATTCAGGAGAATATTCTCTACATCGCATTTGATTTGAAGAATATCTAGAAGATCGTGAACTATGTGATGTCCTTTTTGGGGATTCCGAACGATAGTCTGAATCTCTACATCTAGATAATTTTGTTTGAGGATTAAAACTCTCTGAAAAATTGTCAGCAATTTTTGATTCGTTTAATTTGTTTGACGAATATTGAGGGGAACGAGAATGATTTGAAGTTCTCTTTAATTTCATTTTGCTAGTTACATCCGTTAATGTACATCGAAAGGTAGAAGATGGTTTCATATTGTGAATTGACGATTGAATTTGGCTTGATAAGCATTGTGAATTATTAAATTGAGTTCTTGTGGGTGATAATGATTTAAATCTTCTAGTTGAATGCAGCAAAGGTTTTTTGGGAAAATAGGAGTGATTTGATAAGCAATCAGGGTAGAGCAAAGACTGTAAATTAATGGATGGCTCATTTAATTTTTTCAAAAGTCTAAATATTTGTGAACGTATTGTTCTTTTGTCTGTTTTGTTATCAGTTTCGAAATTTTCGTCTAAATTTATCGAAGTATCGACAGTATTTGGTTGCAAGTCTTTTGAAACAAGTGAATCGCATGATGTAGTTTCAAGAGGTTCTAATTCAACTAAAGGTTTAGAAATCGGTGGTGTACTTTTTAAAGATTTTAAATCCTCAGAAGATTTTGAACCCTGTAGTACATTTTTTGGTGACTGCAAATCTTTTAAAACGAGCGAATCGCGTGATATAATTTTGAGTGGTTCTAATTCACCAGGAGGTTTTAAAGATTTGGAACTCTGTGTTATATTTTTCGATGATGGTAAATTTTTTGAAATGAGTGAAGTATTTTGTGAAGATTGTGGATCATCTACTTGTTGTCTAGTAAATGACGTATTGTTTAACAATTTCAAATTATCACAAGATTTCGAACGCTGTTGTGTATTTTTCAGTGATTGTAAATTCTGAAAAATTAATGAACGCTCTTTTGTATCATTTGGCTTTTGCAAAGATTGCTTACTATAACCTGGTGTTTGTTGTGATACATCTAAATTTTTTAAAATCACTGAACTGTGATTTGCACTTTGTGATAAGGGGATATCGTTAAAGGATTGTAAACCGTGTGGTTTATTTTTTGATAACTGTGAATCTTCTAAAGGCTGTAAAATCTGATGCGTAATTTTCAATGATTGCAAATTTTCTAAAGTTTGAAGCGGTTTTTTTAAAGATTGAAACTCCCCTGAAGGTTGTAACTTTGATAGTTTGTCCTTTGAAGATTGTATTGATAAATTTAGTGAAGGATTGACTTGAGTTAATGTAGATGATGGAGAATCGTTCATTGTTTTTTCATTTCTTCCATGATGATTTTCAGAATTGTTGATTAATTTTGGTTCTTTAATTTCTGTAATTCATAAAAGATATATAAATAATTATTATTTTGTACCTTATGAATAATCCCTTAATATAATTTTTATTTTTTTTAATTAAAAAAGAATTATCATAAATTAAATCATTTAATCATAAATTAAACGCATTTGGAAATTCTATGCTTTTTTATTTTAAAATTTGAAGGTTTTCATCAATCTTTTTGAGTTATTATAATTAATGTATTAGGATGATTGTTATAACCTTAGTTTTTAAGTTAAGTATGTTCTTTTACCCAGTGGGAGGTTACTTCTCGATATCTCTCGTGGGGACTGAGGGGGCGAACCCTTCAAAAAAGGGTCGGCCGCTAGAAACCGAATCTTCTGTGTTTCGCTGGGCAAAGTCCCAGGGTACAGGGATTTAGAGGGATATTGAGAGAGACGGGATAGACAGAGGCTTAACCGCGGGTCCATTCTGAAGACTTACTTCTGGAGGAGTCTGACCAAGAAAAAACCCTTCCATGGTTACATTGGCTGTGCCATGGCGATTGTGGTGCGAGTCTCGGCCACTTAATCCGTGATGATCTCGTGTCCATGGATGAATAATACCAAGGTTACCAAATCCGTCGGGTTCTTCCGTGGGGGTGGACGGGGGACAACCATCGCTGGGCATTACTTTGCTCTCGTAAAGTTTGGGAACGGTTGTGTTACAGGAGGGTCCCGTCTTCTAGACGAATCGTCCCTGTGGTGGGGCTCGAATAGACCCGGTAAGAAGCGAGGAATTGAAAAGAATTCAAAAGTTCATTTCTTTTGAATGGGCGAATTTCCAAAATAATTCAATTCCTCAGTGAAGCAAGGAAAAGTAGCAAAATCTATTATTCTTAATTGACTTCATCAAAATATGAAACGCGCATTCAAAAGAGTGAGAGAGTACAACAAATCAGTAGAAATTTCTATTCCATTGAATTGCTTTACTATAACTCAATATTTCACTTGAAAAAAAGGTTCGGTTTTGAAAACTTGACGTTAAACATTGAACACTTGAAAATTTCTTTCATTTATTTCAATAAGAGAATTTTTTATTTTATCGTAAGCACTGTGCGTTTTAACCATATTTTCATTTTAATAATTTAGCACTGAAATCACAATGAAATTCACACAACGCGAAAAATAACTAGAGGAGCTCCTACAAATAATTAGAAAGATTAGGCTTTTTCAAATTGTTTGTCAAAAGTTCTATTCCTTTTAATGCGTTTATAAAATTCGAAGCAGTCAATTGAAAAGAATAAACATTTCTATTCGTTTGAATTGACTACGTAGAATCGCTTAAAGTCGATTGAAAAGAAGAGCTCTATTTCTTATTTTTTTTCAATTCGCTTTTACAAGATTTACTTTGTCGATTCAAAAGGATAGGATTCTATATTTTTTTGGAACGTTGAGAAGCAGAAAAATTTTTTGCGCATTCAAAAAAAATTGAAACTCTTAATTCTTTTTTATCATCTCATTTACACGAGTAATAGAGAATAATTATTTTTTATGATATTTTGCTGTTCACAGAGGAATTAGGTTTTTTTGGAAATTCGACTATTCCGAAATATTAAAAAATCCTCGTTTAACAGAATATTTCTGGAAATTTAATCTTTTTCTATTCCTCGCTTCTTACTGGGGAGTTATCTTAAACGAGACTCTGAGATACCAGGCGAACTCTCAGATGTATTTTAGCCTTATCCTTGAATACAGGCTCTTCTAGAATTGACTTTCTTTCCTCTTTTTTCGTGGGATCAAAAATGGATACTACAAACTTGCAAAATTTAAATTCTAAATATGCGAGTGTTAAAGAGTCCTCTTTGAGGGATCTGAATGCTGGCATGGAGGCTACGCTTGGAGCTGGGGTGGGGACCGCAGGGGACCCAAACTTGCAACAAGTAGATAGGGTACAGCAACATGATGATGATGGCTAATCTTGACCAATTAAGGGTCGCCACGATACATGGTGAGATGGAGGGGGACGAAGTATCCCCTCCATCTCACCCTATCCTCACTTTGGAGAGGTTTCCCTCACTAGGGAAGCGATCCTGGTGGAGTGCCTGGACTCAGACTCTAGGGAATAGCTAAACAGCCGTATGCCTAGGTTTAGCCAGGCGGTAGGGGGTCTCAAAATTAAGGTGGAAGACAGCTGATCAAGCTGGTAAGGCTTGATAGGCTTGGGTACCTGGTCCTAGAGTGAACCAGGCTTCAATCTTTAAAAACATAGATAGACAAAATACCGGGGTGGATACATCCGCTTGGAGGGTGTATTCGGGAGGCGAGAGGGGAACGCACCAAGCTGCGGCTGTGTGCTGGACTCTCCCGCTTGGAGTACTGGAGAGCGACATTGAAGCTCTCTAAGCTCGGCAGTTGAAACTGTGTTTTAGACTGGGACAAATCACTCTAAGAGTGACGAGGCAAGATACTGACACAGTTGCTGGGCAGGGTACCCAAGGGGAGCATGCGATTAATTTGCATCATTGTAAAGGCGCTTCGGCGATTTTAGCCAAGACCTTGACAAAGATGCAGACATCTTTAGCCTTTATTCAAGAACCTTGGTTTTTAAAGGGGAGAATTAGAGGTCTGAACGTCTGTGGGGAGCTAGTTAGTTTACCACAGGAACCAGTTCCAAGGGCGTGACTGATCTATAAAGGTCTAGACGCTTTCCCTCTTTTGGAATTAACTACTAAGAACTTAACTGTAGTTAAGGCTAAGTATCTGGAAAAAAACTGAAATAAAAGGGTGGTAGTAATAGCGTCCGCTTATTTTCCGGGATCAGGGGATGAACCGAGATCTCGATGAACCTGCACCATCTAGAGAGGTAGAGAGGTTGGTAGATTACTGTCAAAGGCGAGGGCTCCCTTTGATAATAGGTTGTGATGCCAATGCGCACCATGTCGTATGGGGCAGCACAGACATTAATGACAGAGACAGAAGACTTTTAGATTTTCTGATAGATACAGATTTAGATATTTTAAATCAGGGTAATGAGCTGACTTTCGTTACTTTTAACAGAAAAGAGGTGTTGAATATTACGATCTGTACCAAGTCTTTGTGTGATGATGTGAGGGACTGGAGGGTGTTTGATGAAGATTCCCACTCGGACCACAGACTTATTACGTTTAGAATGGAATCGAAGGATCGGGAACATGAGAGGAGACGTAATCCTAGAAGTACTGACTGGACTTCATATATTGAGGACCTCAAGGCCTCCATGGTATACTTTCCCTTCATATAGAAGGCGGGAGGAGTTGGAGCTTGCAGCGGAATATCTGCGAGATTCTATTGTCTGCTCCTTTGAAAGAAATTGTGTAGTTAAGAAAACTGCCGTACAAAATAAAAAGTCTATAACTGACATTTGCTTTTAGGTTGTTTTTCCCGTATACAAACAAGCTAACATCAACCTAAAAGAAAACTACAGTTATAGACTTTTTTATTTTGTACGGCAGAAAATGGCCTCCAATGGGGGTAGTAAATGGTGGACCCCCCGTTTGTAGGAACATAGGAAAACAGTAAGACAGCTTTTCAATGAAGCCAAGAAACGTAGGCATCCGCGAGCATGGGATGAATATCATATCGCTCGTGATTCTTACAAGAAAGAAGTAGAGAGGGCAAGGGCTGTCAGCTGGAGGAGTTTTTGCGAGGGAATCGAAAGGGTACCAGAAGCATCAAGACTTCATAAAGTACTAGATCGAGACCCAATGGCAAAATTAACTACTATTAAGTTGCCTAATGGGCACTATGCCCAGGATAAAAAGGAGTGTCCAAAGCACCTGATGGAGGTAAACTTTAGAGAAGACTTTAGAGAAGGTTCAAAGAACAACCACGGTGTAGGACCAGCTAGGGACCGAAGATATCGGGAACACTGAAAACTAGCAGTCTGGAGTCTGGTACAATGGGTTTACCAACCAAGGTGCTTACTTTCCCTTTTTAGGAAAATCCAGCTCGATCTCAGGTGTTAGATTAGATTAGAACTTAATAGAAGTCGACAATAAAATTGCTCCTCACTGTGGAATCAAGTATAGTAATCAGAAAATTATAAATAGATTGATTTGACTATCTCGAAGGTAGTTTGTTAATTATCCAGAGAATTAGACTAACACTTAAAATCTAACCTACTAAGTTTAACTCTCCAGTTTTCTCTGTTTTTGTTCATTTTTAAAAAGTTAGGATTTTTTAAAAAAGGTGTGTCAATTGTGTCACGCTGTGATTCAAAGAGTTGAAATTTACAGTAAAAGTACTTCGAAAATACGTTACAGTTTATAATCCTGCTGTTTAAAAAATAAAAAGAAATTAACATTTTAATATATAAAGCTTATTACCCCTTGAAATCTGACTAAGACTTATGTTCGCTGTAGATTCAGAACTGCTTTCAACAATGATAGTTTCATTTTGTTCATCTATTGTCAAGTCACGATTTTCTGCAATAATGTAAAGTAAATCATTTATAATTAAAAAAATTGTTAGTAAATTAAAAAATATAAAAATTGTGACTTTAAAAGTATAATATAGAGATTGAATATATTTCTTGCTCTTGAGAGCAATACAAAATTTCTTATACTTCAAATTCATCAGCTGTTTTGAAAAAATTTATTTAGTTGCTTATGAAATTTTATCGTCTGTTATTACCGGCAGGTATTCTATTTTCAGTAGGATTTTATTTGACTATCTCGGAGGTAGTTTGTTAACTACCAAGAGAATTAAACTAACTCTTAAAACCTGACGTACTAAGTTTAACTCTCCAGTTTTCTCTGTGTTTGTTCATTTTTAAGAAAGTTAGGATTTTTTGAAAAAGGTGTGTCATTTGTGTCACGCTGTGATTCAAAGAGTTATAATTTGCAGTAAAAATACTTCGAAAATACGTTATAGTTTATAATCCTGCTGTTTAAAAAATATAAATTTTAATATATAATTATTACCATTTGAAATCTGAATAAAACCTATGTTCATTACAGATTCAGAACTGTTTTCATCATTGATGGTTTCTTTTGGTTTATTTATTGTCAAGTCTTGATTTTCTGCAATAATGTAAAGCAAATTATTTATAATTAAAAAAATGTTAGTAAATTAAAAAATATAAAAAATGTGACCTTAAAAGTATAAAATAGAGATTGAATACATTCCATGAACTTTATAACCTAAGAAATTGTTTATTCTTATTCTTATTTATTCTTAATACCTAGGAAACAAATTATTTATGTATGTTTTATTTATGTTATATTTATCATAATTAAGAATTTTAAAAAAAAATCTAAAAATTTAGATTAATTACACGGAAAAAATTTTTGTGTATCAGCTGTACCCATTATTATATCTGTTGAGACATGAGATTCTCCTTTTCGGTGCACGCGTTATATTATCCATTGATAATGTGAATATCTCGTTCTTATTGAGGACAATGTACGTTCTGATACACCAATATTTTCTCTATGTATACTAAAAAAATTTTGTTAACAAGCAAAAAGTGCATGTAGAATTTGTCATGTATTATATTTTTATTGATTATCTTAATTGTTTAATAATGCCCTTACGAGTTTAAAGAAGAAATATTTTTATTGTCTCGTAAAGAAAAATTTATTCAAATGGTTTCTGAAACTCATTGTTAAAATATACAAGTTCTATCAATTTTATCAACTGTGATCAATGTTTAAAGAAAATTTCACTATATTTCTTGTTGTATTAAGGGGGGAAACCTAATTATAACTTTCAAAAAATTTATTTTTAATTTTTTTAATTTTCTTAAAGTATATATATTTAGAAATTTTTTATTATTTTTTCTATTATTATATGACTCTTTGTGACTTTAAAAAAAATTTCTGCTGAACAAAAAAAAATAAATTGAAACTTTAAATGCGTTTTTCTCAAAAACACATTTTTTATGATTGCGTGCAGTCTAACTTAAACAAATATTTACCGATTATAATGAGATTTGGAAGTTTTATTCTTTATAAAATTACGAAGAATATGAACCACCATTTAAGGTGATATCACGATTTTAAGAGTGTTTTTTTGTCTAATTAGTGTAAAAAAAAATTGTGAAAATTTAAGGAAAAATTTCAAACACCTTCAAAATTCAAAATTTTTATTATTTTTACCTAAATTGAGGTTCATATTCTTAGAAAATAAGTTAAGAATGTAAGAAAATTTTTTTCTTAATTTTAGTTAAAAATAAAAATTGTTACACGTCACGCAATTCGAGAAAAAATATCAGGACCATCAGTGGTTATGACAGCATATCTGCCTTATTTCTGGTTAAAATAAATCAAAAGAATTTATAAACATTGTTCAAAACACTAAGAAAAAGTTGCCTAAATGTAATTAAATTTCAATTTATATTTCCCCCCCAAAAAAAAAATTTTTTTAAATCCATAAAAATGAGCCACCTAATGTGGTTTCCCCCCTTAAAGAAGACACCATCAGTCATTGATGTCATTACTATGTAATGTTAACGATGATAAAATGAATATTTGTTTTGATATTCTAAACTATTATTTATATAAAAAACCTCACAAATTCTTTCAATATATTTTATAAAATAAATTATAATTAAGCATTAATATAACAATTCATCCTTATTAATAAAATCAGATGTCTGTCTGTACATTGCTTAAAACTTCAAAATGTTAACATGATTAGTTATTATGGACATCAGAGATTCCAAAAATATTCTTAAAAAATTTAATGTATGTATGTATGTATGTATGTATGTATGTATGTATGTATGTATGTATGTATGTGTGTATGTATGTATGTCTGTCACAAAAACTTTGTACCCCAATCACACAAAAACATGTGAATCGATTTAAGTCCAACTTGGTAGGTTATTAGGTATTGACACAAGGAAGATTTATAAATTTACAGATTTAAAAAATATTAATTAGAACGAGAGATATTCAATTTCTTCAAAAAATTTAAAAAATCGAAAATTTCAAAATTTTTTATTTTTTATGGATTGCTTTTAAAGTTTCTATACTTGACTATTACATGTTATTTAGTCACATTATAGCATAACTTTGCAAAAAATAAAGCCCTATAACTAATATGTAAGTATAAAAATGTTTTCAAAAAATCGAAAATTTCAAAATTTTACATTTTTCTATGGATTGCTTTTAAACTTTCTATATTTGAGTATTACATGTTATTTGGTAACATTTTAGCATAATTTTGCAAAAAATACTATTCTACAACTAAGATGTAAATATAAAAATATTTTCAAAAACTTCAAAAATGGAAAATTTCCAAATTTTTAATGGATAGCTTTTAAACTGTCTAAAATTGAATATTATATGTTATTTAGTCAGATTTTATCATAATTTTGCAAAAAATACTATCCTATAAGAAATATAAAAATATTTTCAATATCAAAAAATCGATACTATAATTACTATATGAAGTTTAATTCAGTAGTATTTTTGGAGTCTCTGATTAATATTTTGACGTCAAAATAGTGCAATTCAAAATTATTTATCAAATTAATCTAATATTTTCAAGAAGTTCAGAAATATTGAAAATGGAAACTTTTTATGATCAAAATGATTTTGCAGGATGTCAAGAATTGTAAGTCACCTGTGATACAATACAAGCATATTATGCCACTAGGCAAAAACTTATATGTTAAAACGTTTTTTCATTTTAACTCTAGATTTAACTTTAAGAGATGTTTTGAGCAATGTAAAGACAAAAGTTAACACGGTGTCTATTTTTGTTTAACAAAATTTCCTGCTTTATCCAAATTTTTAACGGTTTATCTCTTTTTTGTCAAATTTAAATTTACTTGATTTTATCCATAAATAAATCTACAAATGGCTATAAAAATTTACTTATTTTATGAAAATACTGTTTCTTAAGTTCATATAAATATAGATTATATTACTTGCTGTCGTATACAGTTTTCTGTTTCTACTAATACATTTAACTGGGTATCTACCAAACGGGAAAAACTGTAGAAAGCTGGGAATATGTCGAACCGGGAATTTTCCTATAAAATTAAGAAAAAGTTTCATTATATTAATTAGCTTTTAAAAAATTGCTTTTTACTTTAATTTTTATTGATGTATAATATTTATGAAAACAGACCCGAGTCAAAATTTAAGCCCTACTTTCAGCCTAAAATTTAGGTCTTATGTTAGGTTTTAGCAGTCGTAACGTAGGGTCTACTTGCGATACAATTAGTTCCTATTAGACTCTACTATAACTCCAAAAACTGTATGGAAAATTTGATTTTTTTTAATACATTAATTAAAGTACTACAAATTGATAAATATTGTTCTCTGCATTTGAATTGGTTAAAATAACTAATTTGATAATAAAAAGTCAATCACTGATTCAAATAGTAATATTTTCCTACTAAAATAGCTATAATGGTAACTAATTATTATTTTTTTCCGGTCAAATTAAATTCCCTAGCTATTTCCTGATTTTCCAGATTGGTAGACACACTTAAATGTATTGGTAGAAACTAAAACCCGTCGAAGACGGGTACGACAGCTAGTTGTTATATATTAAAATTATAAAAATTTTGCTTTATGAATAAAAGTATTTTACAGCTTAAAAAAGTTATACATTTATGAACCTTGAAATGCTAATGACTGAAATTTGAGTTTCGGTTGGTTGCCACTATTAGAAGCCAACGGTGATCTAAACTGAGGCTGTAGTATTAAAAATCTGACTCTAACTTTATATATATAAAATTATATACTTTTAATATCAAAAAGTGTGAATACTTTTATTTGATTGGATTCACGAAAAACTTTAAACCAATTAAATAAAAGCTTCATACTTTGCGAGATTTAAATAACAACATTTGAATCTTTTTGGTGTAAAGTTGAAATCAGATTTTTAACAATGTGCTAAAGTTAAAAAACCTATT